CTGAATCTAAAAATTTTTTTTTTACCTTAAAACTCTTGAACTTAAAAATCGTTGGGATTTAAAAGAATAAGTTTTCAGCTGGGTAGGTTAAGGTTATTTTTTTTTGCAAATAGAAATTCCTGCACCTAAAAGTCACTCTTTTACATTACAAAACAAAAAATGTGGTAAATATTCGTACAAACCGTCAATAGTCGGTCTTTAAATTTATATGTGTAGTGTATCAACTATCTGGTATCCATAACACAAGCCTCGTAGCTTACCATGGAACTAGAAGGTGTTGTGTGTTAATGTCCTAACATATTTTATTTATTACTCGTCTTATTAAAGTATGAATAGCAAAAGCTACGATTATTTATTATTTTTCCTATTAATGTTTGTATAATTATTTTTTATTCGTCCTTAATGTAAGTACGAATAGCAACAGCCATAAAATATACTAAGACTAAATTCTAAATATAAGCAAATACACTCTCTAATAAACTTTCGTTTTTATAAGAGTACTGCGATTTCATTTTAATAATTGTCAAGCTATGAGAAATTTAAAACCTGTCATGGTTTACAGGTATGTGTCGACAATAAAAATGAAATGCTATTCGTTGGTAAACATCCATTATGAATGGTTGGACTGATTTTACAATATTTGTAAAGGTTTGTAATAGCCCAAATAAAATATTTAGGAGAAAAAAAATGAAAAATGGGGAATCCGGGATTTCTTTTAGATAAACAAGATAATGTCTGTCACGCTTGTTAATTAAAGATAAAAAACACATTTTAGGAATCGAAATTAGTTTTAACTCGCTAATTTACACTTAGTAGAATATATGAAAATATTTTATTAGAAATTTATAATATAGCTAGCTTTTGCATCCGTAGTGGTTATTTCGTTGAAAATGGTAGGTAGCCTATAATTTTTGCTCATTTTACTCAATTTTGTTAAGCGAAAACAGCGCGAAAAAGTAACAAAAGATTTTCACCTAAGTTTTCACATATCGTATAATAAACGTGATTCGAACTGTATATTAAACAAGATTAATATGGTTATACCGTAAATTGTAATCTGTGGAAGCAAACAGATTCGAAAGATCTACAGTTTGTTAACATTAATACCTTCCGCTCTCTAAGAAGTTTTGAAACGCAATCATTTCCAACTTTATGCAGGTATGTTCGTAGGATTAATGTGTATTTTACATATCATGAATTCAACTAAAATAAGATTTGGAAATACTACATTTTTGTAAATAATTAAATACGCATTAGCCCAAAAATTATACAGAACATAAAAATGTCAACGAACAAATGGAATGTCACGAAGTCTACTCCAAGTAGATACACTCACTACCTCACAGGTGGTGGTGTGTAAATGTAAGCATATCATGTAGAATGTAACACCTTCAACTTTTAGAATCGCAATATCTTCTTTATTCTCTTTATAAAGAACTAATATTATAATATTAGTATAATATATAAAAAAAATAATTTAAAAAAACTCGGATATTTATTGTACAAAAAAAAACAAGGGTTGAATGAAAATTAATGAAAGGAGAAGATTTTCAAGTCGACGCATATTTTTTTTTGTTTTGACCGACATTTGCTACAGACTGCAATATAACAATTGTTAAGTCTGTTCTATTTCGAGAGTATTTCTTGTTAAAAATAAAATATACACTTTTTAGGGATATTTTAACATTCTGAACAATTATATGTCGAGGTAAAATGGCCATTCTAGCTGTAACGGCGGTAAGGCGAACATAATCGAGCTCACAAAATTATATGAAAAGTACAAATATAAGAAGAGAATTAATAAAATTTCACTTCATCTATTTATACTTAATATTTAATTTTAAAAATGGTTTGTTGAAATTTTATGACTTAATTATAAATATACTAAAATATAAAAAGAAGAATTACTTATATAAAAAAAATATAAAGATCATTTTACAATCTGTTTATTTATTTTGGAGATTCACTTTAGTTTTATTTAGAATACTAGCGACACACTCTCTTCGCTCGGGTTCGTCCCTAGGTACGTTTTAACGGTTAGTATGGAATAGACATACTAAGTATATGATACATAGCCTATAGTCTTCAAAAGATTTTTCAAATTGGATTAATAGTTCCTGAGATTAGCGCGTTCAAACAAACAAACAAACATATAAACAAACAAATAAAATCTGCCTCTTTATAATATAAAATAAATATATACTATAGATTAGTTATCGAATCATACAAATAATCTTACGCAAAATATGTGCATATGTATGTAGATGAAAGAATAAAAATTAAAGAGAATATAAACAAAAAAAGTGGTATTTTATATTCTATAAGCTTTTAGAGTATAAAATAATTTAACTGTTACATAAAGGTTAAAAGTTTTTACGAGCAAACTGAAACTCATAGATCATGTACAAAACAAGTTAATTAAATAACCACGGAGTTGCAAACTTAGCAACTTCCAACTTATGCTAAGTACAGCGGGTTACACAGAGTTATGATCCTCGAATGTATGTAATATTCGACCATATCATAAAACCATAAAAGCTACTTTCCCTTACGCTGATTTGTAGCCATAAAGTAACCATGTAGAAGCCATAGTTCTCAACTTTGCACAGGTAGTATGAAGGAACGTAAAAAGTGAATGCTAAAAGCCCGCGAAAGTTTGAGAATAGGCCTTGTGCCGTACAATTTCCCCAAAGACATACTAAAAGCCCTTTCGACTCTTTATGACATTTAAAATTTTATTTCATATAGTCCACTTTATTTTTGCAGATAAAAAATCTTAATGGCATCAAACTGGACTATTAGAACTGGTGATTATTTCCAACAACAAACTTTTAGTGAAACCACGACTTTTTCTAACTTCAACTGACAATTCATGTATGAGAAATGCCTCGTTAGCCTAGTGGTTAGCATGGACACTTGCAAATCTGGTGGTCATAGGTTTGAGCTCTTCTAAGTAGAAAATTTTAGTACTGAGACTTTCTATACAAAAGTTTGCCTCTGAGAGCATGCTAAGCCTCTCGTCTGTCCTGCGCCTAATCTATTGCCGATCATGTCGAATTTGCGCTCCACATGATTTTGAGAGATAAAGGAATTTCGAGCGCACTTTATTTGTATATACACTTGAGTACTATATTATTATCTCTTGCATACTAATATCTAGAAATCTATTTGATATTTTTAATAGTAATATTAACGCCAAAATGTGGTGTTCGTTAGTTTGTTGTACTTTCGTGCAGGAACTGCGCAATGAACTAACGTTTTATTTAACGAATTTACATATAGATTTAGTTCATTGGACAAAAGAGATTTTAAGGGTACGTTTTATCCAATATAAAGAGATTCTCAAGGAATATTTTTATATTACAAAAGTCATCTGACCAAATTAATTTGATCATTCATCCACTATCTATGTATAGATATTGTATATACCACACGGTATGGATAATCTTTGTTATATTTTTATCTAATCTTTACTATTACTACCTTATATATACATGTAATAAAATTGTAACTGAGTAGAATCTGTACATTAAATATTTTTTAGGAAAATATTATTGAAATTATTCATTATTAGTCATTATTATAGATACAGAGATAGAATCTTAGTTTATAGAATTTTTGTCTGTCTGTCTGTTACCGCATTCACGAGAAAACTACTAGACAGATTTTGATGAAATTTAGTATGATGATACCTGGTTATCCGGATCAACATATAGGATACTTTTGAATGCGCGAAAATATCTCATCTCTGAGAAATCTATACAAGACGTTAAAACGTATCTTGGGACGAACCCAAGCGGCACGAGGGTGAATTGCTAGTTTTATATATATAGTAGTACATATATTAGGTATAGTAACTACCGTTTTACTTCAAAAATAATTATTCGTACGATCGAGCTTTGACGCTTGGTATAATTTCGTGGATGTGCGATCTCAACGAAGTTATTCGGGTCAGTAAATCAATCCCTAGAGATTTCCAACAAGCCTTCGCGTTAAAATTTATATCGGACCTAGACCCTAAAGTTAGGTTTCACTTCATTATTGCTTCAAGTAGAGAGCAGTATTATATATCTATATATACATACATACATATATATATATATACATATATATGCACTTGTAATTTACCTTTGCTTTGGTCGGGTGCGTCCGTAAGTTTCAATGTTTTAAGAACGCATAAAACACAAACGTCCAAAGAAAATTCCTTTTTTGCTCCACTAACCTTCGCAGGCGCATACGAAATATCCCACCAGAGTTTCATCACAATCGGATCAAAGGCTTAGAAACGCATATAAAACAAACATACGAACATTCATTTTTATTTACATATATAGAAGATTACCTATATTAAGTTATAATATGTTTTTGTGGTTTATTTTATTAGCCATTTTTGAACTACTTTTGTTATTTTTATTTAAAACTCTACTATGGATGTCATGCAGGATTTTATACGCTATTGTACATTTATGTTACATATCTAAAACTATTTAAAATTGATAAACAAACAGTCAATATATAAAATTAATCTCAATAAAATATTATAATAAGAACAGACTTAAAAAAGCTTTATCTAATAATCTTTACTTATCAATACTAATATTATAAAGAGGCAGAGTTTGTTTGTTTATTTGTTTCTTTGAACGCACTAATCTCAGAAACTACTAATTTGAAAAATTCTTTTTGCATTAGATAACCCATTTATTGAGAAGGCTCTTATATTCTATATATTTCATACTAACCGGTAAAAGAAACCCGAGCAAAACCAGGATGAGTCGCTAGTATTATATAGAAGGAAAGTTTATAAAATATGTATAATTGTAGACTTTTATATCTAAACTACTGATCCAATTTTAGAAACTCTACGAAGCTATATAACCTCGGAGTGCTACAGATTATTTTTTATTTTGATAATAATGTGTTTAATGTCAGAAATCATAATAATTTTATTTGAAGTTGAAAAAAAATGGTTGAATTACTTTATCGGCTATTTTTAGGCACCTATGGATGCATCCGAGCGAAAGAAGGGTAAGTGGGTAGTAAAATAAATTTTGGTATAAGTTATTTTTACCCATACTACAATTTAGTCTGATTGAAATTTGGCCATATTTCGTTCTCGTCACTTTATTTACTTTTAGGCGGCAGCTTTTGATATTGCTACATTAATATGTAACAATGTTAAGTTATCATACGTAATATTTAATAAAAAGAACCGGACAAGTGCGAGTATGAATTGCTCATCGATATTTTAAGTTATGTTTTAACATATGTAGTTTGTTAAACAAAAAGTAAAAAAAAAATACGAGTATTTTCCCATTTACAGTATTCAATCATATATTTATGGGGAACTTCAACTTATATTTATGAACGAACGCGTGGTACTGAAAATATTTCATATCTCTAAAATTCTGTGTATCTTTTTCGAAATGATTTGATTAAAAGTATTTTGCTTTATTATCTCGATTTATTAAAAACTTTTACCACAACGGGCGACTTTAAAGCCATAGCTCTCGGCAACTATTAGCTTTTTCAGAAGTCTCTCAAAAGTATATATTACCATTTTAAAGATAGATTCTCTGAAAGAGTACTGGTTTCACATACATAGCTTGTGTTGAGCCCTTTTTAACGTCCCACTTCTAGGCACGGGCCTCCCTTCAATACGAGGGGGATCAGGCCATAGTCCACCACGCTGGCCAAGTGCGGGTTGGCGGACTCTAGATAAATGGATTATGTGGAACCATTTTTCTTTATTTAAGCATAAATATACAATAAATAAAGTTATTACAGTTGATAGTAGACAGTAAAATTGTAATAATATATTATTTCTCGAAAATTGAAGACAAGTTAATTTCATGAAAATTACCCGTCGTTAAACCTGCTCATAAAATTTCACCTAAACCCTTAGAGAGCTTTAAAAATGTAAAGCCTATTCTTACCTTTTTACTACCTTTTAGCGTTAACCTTTTATGTTCCTTGCATACTTCAAGGAAATGTGGAAACTTGGAAATTGTCGGTCTGCATCAAAAGAAGAAAATATTACGTTTATACTAGATGTGTGAGGACTACAAGAAATCACTTTTGTATAAGTTTATAAGGAACTATAAACAAAAATTCGATTTCAATTCATCTGTAGATTATCCACATTATAATCTATACTTACCTACTAATATTATAAAAGTGAAAGTTTGTGAGTATGGATGTTTGTTAATCTTTCACGGCAGAACGTATGAACGGATCTGGATGAAATTTGGCACGGAGATAAAATATAGTCTGAAATAATACAAAGGTTACTTTTTATCCCGGAAAAATATACGATTCCCGAGGGATAGATTTGTTTTTGTTTTTCTATCCCTAGTCCAAAATAAATTAACACTCAGTATCTGTACATGCGATGAAATTGTAACTAAGCCGAATCTGTACATTAAATATTTTTTGTGAAATCTTATTGAAATAGACAATATTGTCGAACAGAGGCCAAAACTACAAATTTTAGAATTTTTGTCTGTCTGTTTGTGACCGCATTGCGGAAACATCACTGGAGGGATTTTGATGAAGGTATGATGTAGCTGGTTATCCGGGTCAACATGTGTTAAAAGTATGCTATAGTATACTTTTTACTTCAGGAAAATATCTCACCTGTGAGAAATATCTACTAAACGTTAAAACGTAACTATGGATTAACCCGAGCGAAGTGAGAGTGAGTCGTTAGTAATGTTACAAAAATGATCTTTGCAGAAGAAAAAGAATTTTGAATATATATATATATATATAAATATATATATATATATAAATATATATATATAAATATATATATATATATATATATACATACCATAAAGATGTCAAAATAGGGGTTAACATTTTCTATGAGAAAACGTGGTTTTTGAAGTAAGAAATGTGAGAATTGGTACCAATCCTATCGGACACAGACATGTTATTATCTAGAATAAAGAGCAGTTGTTGATATAAGATTATATTAGTATAATAAAGACAGCAAAAGCGTAGGTGTTTGCTTTCTAAATATTAGGTAATTTTTATTATAAAGTCCAAATAAAACCTATCTTATCTACACTTATATTAGTATTCTATTTAGAAAAATATAATTTTACATTTAAAATTAATTGATATTGTATTACTTAATGTCTTTTAAAATTATCTATTTCTACTTGTAATAAAACTGTTTATAAATCGGTAATTAAAGTATCTTATAGAAAATTATATAGATTTTACCAATTAAATAAAAGTATCCATTAATTCAATGGAGCGGGTTCAAACCCCGACTCTCGCATATCCTATATTTTTATGTACCTTCGTATCATTTCGAACATGATTTACACTTAATTTACAGTAAAGGGAAAATCGCGAGGAAACTTGCATGTTAAAGAGAACCTTACTAGTTTTTGAAAGACAACCACCAAAAAGTAAGTTTAGAAAGGCCGCCAACCTGAATTTGGAAAGTGTGGCTTTTGCTGAATGGCTATCCCTTGCTTGTCGGGGCCCAGCAGTGGGATAAAAAAGTTGGATACAAAGGGCTGAATCATATCCATTATTTTATGGACAGGACACAGGGTTTATCAAGTCCTTTCTAGAAAAAGGGAATAACTATCACCCTTAAACATTACGTAAATTTGTAGTCAAATATTGACTCACATCTTGACTAACTAAATTCATTGCATATACTATTTATGTATCTTTCCTATTAAGACGGTAATAGGGAGTTATCTTTCATTTTCAGTCATTCCGTTGTTACAGTATTAGTGAAACTTGTCTAAATTTGTTACGAGAAATAGGGATTTGAGTTAGTTATCAAAGTGATAACAAAGTTTTAGAAGTTGTTTAATATGCACATATGTTATGTTAGAAATATAAATTGTAACTCCGTCCTGAACAATCATCAAATTTTTCAAATATTTTTCTATTATTATTGCTTTTCAATCGTTTTCAAGGTAAGTTAGGTAATATTATTAATGCGAAAGTAAGTCTGCCTGCCTTTTTGTTACCTTTTTACGCCTGAACCATTGATCTAATTTTGATGAATTTTGGTACAAAGACATACACAGAAGGACAAACTAGTTACTTTTAGTCGCAAAAATGAAAGTTGAATAGAGTGAAATAGGGTTTGAAAATTTGTATTGGGAACAAATCATATACATAATTGTAACTAAGACGAGTCTGAACATTAAATATTTTTTGGAAAATCTTATTGAAATAGACATTATTATCGATACAGAGGCCGAATCTATAACTTTTAGAATTTTTGTCTATCTGGCTGTCTGTCTGTCTATCTGTCTGTCTGTCTGTTACCGTATCACAGAAAAACCACTGGAGGGATTTTGATGAAATTAGGTATGGTGATAGCTGGTTATTCGGGTTAACATATAGGATACTTTTTACCCTGGGAAAATATCTCATTTTTTAAGAAAAAATACAAAAACTGCAATGTAAGAGTATACTAATATGTAAAACCTAAGAATTTGGTTTTTGGTCATCTGAACGTGGGCGGAGCCGCGGGCAATGCTAGTATATTATAAAACATTCCACGTACCAATTGTAAATCAGTATTAAACCTAGTTGAACTGGTTGTAAAGCAATTAGATAACTTATCAGAGTTCTGAGTACATGTTGTAGATACTAGTAATTATTAATGGACGACACGATGCATTCGCATGCAAAATCGTTTATTTCATAAGCGTATCTCTTTGTATAAAATTTATATTTTAGAATGATATATTTTTTAAAATTTAATCTTTTAATCATAAAATGTACTGATATGGACTCTGTTTGTATATGTATGTCTTTTACTATATACCTCTCTTTGCTATATCCTTTATTTTCTAAAGGATAGCAATACCTAATATCTCTTTGTATCTTCAAGACTTTGGCCTTGAAACCTAGCAATTTTTTTACATAATACCTATAAAATTTCAAAAAATATTGGGGAGTTTAGGGGAGGATAGGGGTGAGGAGGAGAGGAGAGGAAAGGAGAGGGAGGAGAAGAGAGGAGAGAAGAGGAGCGCAAGCGACCCCAAGGCCGCGTTTTACTGGGGGAGGGGTGAGGCGGGAGAGGGGGTTGGTGGAGGGGGTGAAGGAGGGAGGGGGGGTGGAGTAATACGTTTTTCATCATAGTACCTAATTTTAAAGTGAATTAGTTATCTATATTCTTTGTTTAGTTATTATTATTGGCAGACATGTTTACAAATGCTTTGTATGAAAATAAAATCATGTCACTAATAACACCTACGAAAAGGAAGCCACATTTGCTTAGTTAATCTGGGGCTTTACATAATATAACCCAGAATCCGAGGGGGGAGGACAAAACATAATAAGTATAAGCCTGTTTTGTTTCTTTGTATACTTTAAAGTTTAAACTCTGAAAATAGCAGTCCGAGTACTGTAATATATTTGTGCGAGTGATAAATAGATTGAAGTAAAAAAAGTTTTAGAAAGTTTTAAAAAAATTGAAGTAAAGAAACTTTAGTAAGTAAAAGTTTAAAGAATAACTTTTAAACGAGAAAGGTTTCCCAAGATCGTGACTCTTGGCATTTTATATATGAAGAACTTACCTGAACATATTATCTTCTCAAAGGTCCAGTTTTAACTTTGTATTTTTTGCTAGCTTTTGCCAGTGGTTCATGCGATTTTATTTTTACAAAGCTATGTAGCAATCAAGAAAGGTTTATTTGTAGTTTCTTTTTCTTTAAATAATAATAAATAAATAATAATAATAAATATGTCGGAACATTAACACACAACACCATCAAGAACCTAATATCTATCTAATATCATACCATGGTAAAGTACGAGGCTCGTGATATGGATACCAGATAGTTGATATACTACACATAATGTACAACTTTAAATACGTACATATGCCTGTACTACCCATGCCTGGAGTATAAACATTGCAAGAATGCCGCCAGCGGGACTCGAACCTGCGATCGCTGGTATAGCAATTAGGGTCACTACAAACTGAGCCAAACGTGTCGCCAAAGCCCGTCGTCGCCGTTTCGTGCCGTAGTCATCTGATTTTTTATTTAACTTAATGATGGTATTCTTCTTGCATTTAAAAGCCTTTCTACAATCGATGTCGCTAATAGAAAACTAATAAATCACGTGATCCGTATCAATTCGCATATATTATGTTATTTTTCATCGAGATATCGATTATAATAATGTTCATTTAAATATCTATCGATTAAATTATTTTTTAATTGAAAGATTCGTAGGAGTCTATTTAAATTTTTTTACCTGTATTATTTTATTTTAAAGCATAAGTATAACATTATAATGCCAACTGAGTTTTAGACACTTTTAGTTATTATTTGTGTCTTAAAACCGACTTTAAAAAACAGGTTGTCTATTCGGTTTTGTTTTGAGTGTACATATTGTACGACATCTTAGTTAATTTTGAAATGATTTTTAGTGGACGTATTGTCTTATATTTCAAAAAAAATTCCTCCCTTTTGGGTGTAATACTTAATACATATATTTTAAGCGATTATGAAACAGATGTATTTTCTTACAATAATTTCATTATCCTTTGACTACATGACGTAATTTTTACTGCGCTTTTGTCTTTATAGCAATTTTAACACGTTCATTATCAGATATATCACGCGATATCACGTGATGCGAGTTCTCACCAAATAGCCGATAACGCGACAACACGTGGACGTCGCTATGAAATTTCTAAGCAACCTAATTTTGGCCACCCCACGAAATCCCAATTTTCAGCTTCTTAATAAACATATTAAAACAATAAATACGAAAGTTTGTGGGGATGCATGGATGTCTGGATGTTTGTTACTCATTCACGCAAAACTCCTGAATGGATTTTAACGAAACTTTACAATAATATAGACATACATTAGAATAACACATAGGCTACTTTTTATCCTGAAAAAAATTACAGTTTCCGTGGAAAAGATTTGTTTCTGTTTTAACGGCTCACTCTGACTTCGCTCAGGGACTCGCCTTCGCGCACGCTCGCAACTAGAAACACTATAAATCAATCATAAATATTATTATTATTTAAACAGATTATGTGAGAATTTAATGTATCATCATAAAACGTGACATATTTTATATTTCGCTAAGCTATCATATTAATGCAAGCAAGCGGAAACTGTATCTAAAGTTAAAGAGCCTAGGTCAGCCAAGTTAGGACTAAGTTCACCGCATCGTCATTATTTGCTAACTTACTTCATAATATAACTTGACTTCATATATTTTGCTTATTTAACTTACTTATAAAGAAAATATCTCCAAGCTAGATGCATAGAGATACTTTGTCTAGTTATAAAGTTTAATAAATCTAGTAAGGGAAAGTTCGATAATTTTTTTGTACGACGAGAATTTTATTTTTGTGAATTTAATGTTCAAATTCTTATGGAGAGTCTTAAAAGATACGAAAAAATAATTTTGATAGAAAACTCAGGCTTTTTGTTTTTTTTTTTTGGTGGGATATACAGAATGAAGCTATGTATGGAATAAAATGCTAAATGGTTTAACTGGCATCTTTCAACATATTAAACATACGATACGAGAATCATACAAGAATCGAACTCACAATATTAAGCCAAAGAGCAGTATCAGTAAATTAACAAAAATTTTGCTAGTAACATGAGAAGTAAAAAATGCAAAGATACACAGTAATTTCAACATTCACAATAATTTTTCAACAATCTTTTAACTAACAGCTAGAATGCAACGATTTTAAAATATACTTTTTACAGTTTTCGGTCTCTGAATAAAAGTAACTTCGAGCGGAGTCGCATAGCTTTTAAAAAGCTAAAATTTCAACAAGTCAAAGCGAGACGAACATTTAAAAGTGAAATTTTTCCGTAAAGGGAGCTCGTGCACGTTGAAACTCGATCTTGGAAATTCTCTTAAACATACATGATTCTCAATTTGCAGACTAAAAGAAAAATATTCTATGAAAGTGAATTATCACATATAAAGGATTTTTGAAAATTGAATGAACAAAGTTTTTAATAAACTAACTTGAAGTCAGGAGTTCGATTCCCATTAGAGAAAAGTTTTTATTAGTTATTCTTTTAACCCAATTCAAAAAGAAGGAGGTTTTATTTTCGTCTGTATGTTTTTTTATGTATATCAACCGATTTCTCGGACTCTGCTTGACCGATTTAGTTTAAATTGTATTCTTAAAAAGTTTCGATACAGTATACAGTAAATTAAATTTCAAATATGTGAGCTGATCTAATTAGGTTTTTTTTATCTACTTCTAATTGTCATGTTGATTTGAAACATTGCAATGTTGTATTTCGGATAATAGTACCTACACTAATTTTGCATTACCGGCAGAAGATGGATATAAAAGTCTTCATCAGCTACTAGAAAATACTTAAATTTGGTTTGATTTGACAATTCCAATCCGTTAAGCTTCAAACCTAATGCCTGATTTTTAGTGTTACTAAGAAAAGCAAGTTTTTATTTTTTTTTAAACATTTTTTGTTTTTAAAAAACTATAATAGATCCTCGTAGAAATATGACTTAAATTTATAAAATTACTCTTTAATCTACTGTGCATCAATTAAATGCTAAGATATTGATGATAAAAAAGAAAAAGATCATTGAAAGTCGAATATCGCAGGAAAAAATGGACGTAAAGGCTTTAATTAATAACATGTTTTTTGTTTATTTCTTACATTTTTTTGACTTCTTGACAAAACTATGACAAAATTTTGTAAAAATCAACTTAATTTAAGAAAAAAATCATTAGTTAAAAAAATATATTTTTAACTAATGAATAAACAAGATAGACTATGAATGAATTTAATTTCTTTCTGTAATTATCTTAAAAAAATTTTTTAGAAAAAAAACAAGAAATTTAAATTCAAAATCGATCAAAAACTAATAAAATATCGATAAATTCGAAAAATTATAACATAAATAGATTCTACGGCAAAAAATACAAAAGCCCTGGTATACTTTACGTGAAGTCCAACTTTTATTATTTTTTCACGACTCGTCTACTAAACTACGTATATACATTATACTATAGTAATTATTTCACACAACTATTTGAACAGCTAGATGAATTTTTGGGATTTTTGAAATAAAATTTCGTTGCAATCTAATTTTATACGTAATCATAGGCTTTACCTATAGCTAGCTATCTTTTGCATAATATATATGTGTATTATATACACATTACACATATTTGAAAATTAATTAGAATTTCCCAATTCATTTACCACCCTCTTCCAAGTGATTGAATTATTAAGTACCTATAATTTCGTTAATTGTGCGCATTAAAATGAAGCCATATTGCTTAAGAGTGACTCGATATTAAAATCACGAATAAAATTGAATTTGATATATAGTAATATACAGCATACTTCAGGAAATAGATAGTTTCTTATAGAATACAATTTCATTTCCTTACACCTTGTAACTTTTGCCAATATACCGTGTACGTGCGTCGTGCTTTCAAGTCGCGTTGAAGGCACATCAAAGGCTTTGCGATGGGAACTTTATTAAAGCTGGATCTTTTACTCCTGATACGATGTCATTTAATATTGCTATTAGGGTTAAAGCTTTATTATTCAGACTAGCGACTCATCCTCGCTCCGTTCGGATACGTCCTTACTTATGTTTTAAAGGTTAGTATAGATATCTCAGAGATGAGATATTTTCCCGCAGTAAAAAGTAAGTTATCCAATAATGGTTTGACCCAAGACTCGAATCTAGTGCCTCACGATATGCAATCTATAATAATCTATACATATAATAAAATTGTAACTAACCGAATTTGCACATTAAATGTTTTTTGGAAAATCTTATTGAAATAAACATTATTATCGATACAGAGGCCGAATCTATAGTTTTTAGAATTTTTGTCTGTCTGTCTGTTACCGCATCACAGAAAAACCACTAGATGGGTTTTGATGACATTTAGTATAGTGATAGCTGATTATCCGGGTCAACATATAGAATACTTTTACCGCGGGAAAATATCTCATTTCTGAGAAAAAATACAAAAATTGCAATGTAAGAGTATACTAATATGTAAAACCTAAGAATTTGTTTTTTGGTCATCTGAACGCGGACGGAGCCACGGGCAATGCTAGTATACATACATACATACATATACGTGTATA